GTGGTGCCGCCACAACCGTCTTCAATGTCTGCTCCTTTGTCTTGTTTTTGTGCACAAGCGAAGTCCTGCAAGACGTGTCCTTTTGTGACGAGTTTATTTGACTCTGCAGAATATCTTCAAGCTCCATAATTTTTTTAGCATGAAGCACTGGGTGGGCAGTATCCATTGTGTGTCCTGACCACATTTTGCCCAAGCATCTATCTATCTACTGATGGCGTGTAGGTCCTTTCCATCTGCTCATGGACATTGAATAAAGAAGATGGGAGAAGAATCAATGCATTTGAATTATGTGGCTGGTGAAGGATATTGAAAGGATCATGGATAGCCGAAAGAACAAACAGACATCTTGGAAGAAGTACAGCCAGAATGCTCCTTAGAGACAAGGATGGCGAGACATCATCTCCTGGCATGTGATCGGGAGAGGCTGGTCCCTGAAGAGGGACATCGCGCTTGGTGAAGTGGAGGAGCAGCAAAAAAAGGGGGAGACCTTCACCAACATGGGTTGACACAGTGGCTGCAACAATGGGTTCAAATGTAAGAACAATTGTGAGGATGTCCCAGGACTGGGCAATGTTACAGTGTGTTGTATAGCGGGTCGCTATGAGCCGGGCACCGGGGAGGGGTCTCATTGCCATAGTGCTGTGATTGGTCGGCTCTCTGGAAGGGGCAGGGTCTCAGCCTGGGCAGTGGCACGGGGCACACGGCCTGCCCTCCTTCTTATCTAATCAGAACGGTCCTTGTTATCTTTTTCTAGAAGGCTATCAGCCAGGGGCATTGACCAGTGGACAGAGGTGGCTGGGAGGGGCACTGTGGAAGCCAAGTGTGGTCAGGGAGACGACTGGGCTTTGGGGGAGGAGGCAGGCAGGAGAGGGACGGCCCCTCACTCCCTCAGTCTCCCAGCCCGGGCCAGAACCCCGCCTTCCCTATCTCGCTCATCCAGACAGGCTGGGAGCCACTCACTCCACTCCACTCTTTCCCCAAGTGCCCATCCCTCTGCCAGGGGCTGATCTGAGGCTGAAGGCAGGGCCCTCATGCACCCTGCTGGTGGCTCCAGTCTTCACTGGGTCTACGTGGACCCCAGCCCAGGGTCCCCTTCCTTAGGCACCCCCTCCCCCAGGCCTCCCCCGGTGATGCTTCGTCCTGTCTTCTCTGCTTGCCTCCCAGGATGGCCCACCCCGTGGCCTCAGTCTGTACCCTCTGCCACCCTAAGCCCTCCTTTTCCTGCCGGGGTGCTGGGGGCAGGGTTTGCTGGGTCCACGCCTCTGCCTGTGGTAGGAGCAGGAGTAGACACAGACAGCTTCACTGAGCCATGGCGAGAGCAGAGCCAACAGCAGACCAGCTCAGTGGGCACACCCTCCTACCCACACTTAGGGAGCACTCAGATGGCCGGTGCCCAGGGGGCCATGCTCACCCTCCAGAGTCTGCAGTGGGGAAGACGGAGCCCCTCTGGGCAGGGTGAGCCCTGTCTGAGAGGTCACTCCGCCACAGACTCTGGCTCCTGGGGTGGGGGTGGGGGTCTTGTCCTGGCGCTGCCCAGCCTGCCAGAACAACCACTGCGAGGCTGCTGGGCTGGAATCGGGGACATGTGAGGTCCCTGGGTGAGAGGTCTGTGGCTGGGATGGGCGGGGCTCCCATAAGGAGTCTCCCCGAAACAAAGACTCAGCCAGCAGGGGCTCTGTGGGAGCCTGCAGCCCTCCCTGGCCTGGCCTGGTGGCTGAGATAACACAGGAAGGGTCGAGTGTCCCCGGTGATAATGAAGCCCTCATAGCAGAGCACGCCTCTTGGGCAGACACCCCTCCTCCAGCAGTGAGGAGGCTGGGCCGGGAGAGGGACCACCTCCTGGGTCAGGACCGGGAGGGAGAGGTGGACGCAGCCAGTGGATCGGCAGGCAGACAGACAGACACACAGACAGATGGCTGGCTGA